GCCCAAAATTGGAGAGGAAATAATTTCAAATTTGAAATGAGCAAGAAATTGAGTTGAAGTAGACGTTACTTTGAAATTTAGAAAAAAATGGTTGCACAGTGAGATTGAAGAAGAAAGAATGAGGTGAAGATGTGAGAAAGTAGGTGAATATTTTATTATTAATTGAATGATAATATTGTCATTTGACCATTTAAAATATCTAGAATTTTTTCCTTTTGTTTTATTGTTGGTCAAAGGCCATATCTTCAAATACATTGTCCTACCCGGCTATTTGGCCAAATTTCCCAAATTGCTATCTATTGGGGACAGAATGGAAATGAGAGGACATTGGGTCAGGCACTGGAAACCATCAATTTGTGATCTTAGCATTCCTTGCAACATTTGGCAATGGACAGACACCAATAATCAATAATCAATCTAGCCGGGCACTGTGAACTGTACAGTAATGGATGCACCAGATTGAGCTCTGATATCCAGTCGTGTCAAGCCAAAGGAATCAAAGTAATGCTTTCTACAGGAGGAAGGGCGAATAGATATTACCTCACCTCCTCAGGGGAGGTGAGACAAGCTGCTATTAACCTCTGGAACAACTTCTTGGGCGGACAATTATCGTCGTCCTCTATGTGAAGCCATTTTAGATGAGATCGATTTTGATATCGTGGGTGGAGGCTCAGCACTGGGATGAACTCGCAAGGTACCTTTCCCAAATACAGAACACAAGGTAAGAAGATTTACATAACTGCGGCTCCTGAATTCCCATAACCTGATGCATTGGGTGGAGGTGCCTTGAAAACAGGCCTTTTCGACTACTTCTAGGTTCAATTTTACAATAACACGCCTTGTCAATACTCTTCTGGAAAGGCTGCAAAGCTCGAAAATGCAAGGAAAGTAGGAAACAATGGATTTCATCTATTCCTGCTAAAAGGATTTTCCTAGGACTACCAGTAGCACCAGATGCAGTTGGGACTGGCTTTATTCCTGCAAATGTTCTGATTTCAGAAATTCTTCCAATTCTTAAAGATTCTGACAGTATGGAGGTGTAATTCGTTGGTCCAAATACTATGATAATCAAACTGGCTATAGTTCTTCCATTAAGCCCCATGTCTAAAATGTAGGTAATGAAGTGAAAAACTATAATCTAGCAAGATGTTCTGTNAGTGAAAAACTATAATCTAGCAAGATGTTCTGTATCCGTGTTTGCATTTTCTTGTACATGAATTAAAGATGGTTGTCATTGCTACATTTCAAGAACAATTAGGACGTCAATTGCTGTATTTTATTACTAGATAAGAGTGGACAATATAATAAACAAGATATATGAACTCAATAAGAGCATGTTTGGCTAGCCTAATTGTTCATGAAAAGATGTCTAGCCAAACATGTTCGAATCTTAAAAGTTTAAGTCTAAGAAATTTTTTAGTACAAGAGGTTTTTTTTTCAGTGTTATTTTTTCTTTCTAATAAAAGAGTTGGTTTTCTTACTTCTTAAGAGAGTTTGCTTCCTGTTTAAGCTTGGTCAAACATGTCATTGTTACCGGTCCACTAGGTTATTCCTTCCACCACAACCTACCGATAAAAGGGTATCGAAGTTCTAGCTCGACTGACTTTTCATATCTACCCAAAAGCAGTCGACTTAATACACTTTTGCGCACACCATCCTTTCCAAAGCATGAAGACATTAGCAACATCTAAATGCATTAATTTCATATAATTTGATCAAGTTATTTACTGGTGCAGTAAATACAACTGGCATGAGATTAGTGTATTCGCAAAGTACAAAGCTCTATATACAAAAATCTCTACATGGAAGTGGAACTAACTAACAGTACAGTAGTATGTAAACAGAATGATATTAGTACTATTTCAGAATCAAGCAGGAAAAATTATTCTTAGAATTATCGAAAGAAAGCTTGTCATGAGTGCAATCTGTCTACCATATTCAACTAGTAGAATTATTACACCTTGAGAAGCTTTGAACAGAATCAAATTAATCATAAAAAACTTTCAGACGTCACCATAGAATCCTCATCCATGAGTGTTAACAGCTTCCCAGAGCAAATTCTTTGGAATGGGATTGGAGAAATCCCGAGCCTCCAAGGCAGCAGTCCTGAGTGTCCTTAGGGTCCACACATTGGCCTCGAAGAAGGACAAGCTCCGATAAGGCAAATTGTGTTTCTTGCATAGTTCCCGAACCACAGGAGAAATATTTCTCAAGTGGCACCTTGGAAGCCTCGGGAACAAATGATGTTCTAGCTGGAATTGTAATCCACCAAAAAACCAGTCCATCCAAGATGAGCAATCGATGTCTATTGTTCCACTTGTTTGTTTCTCGAACCAATCATCCCCTTTGGGTGCTCCTACATAAACATTTGCTGCGAAATGGTTTAGAGTGAATTGGATATGTTGAACTGAGCATACACAAAAGCTTGTCAGAACAAACAACACCCTCTCGTTCCAATTTGGCAAGCATGAAACGAGGAGAGGAAACCAACTCCAAAAAACAAAGATTCCTAATATGTTGAATGCCCTGTCGGGAACTTTTCTCTTCGAGAACAACAACAAGAGTGTCTGCAGATAAAGATTGACCCTGGCAACACACATTACTGGATAGTAAGTAATATGCTGGTAACTCACAAAAAATCTTGACGCAGAATCAAATGTCAGTTCTCTACCATAAAACTGGGATGTCAACGAGTGAAATAACTTTGAAGAGACTGCCAACATTGGCAAGTGTTGAAGATCGGGATCATAGTCAAGGCTATTGCAAGAAATATGATGAGCATTATGAGTCCATTTCCACCAAGCAATACTGATTCCAGTTAAGCAATTGCCAGAGAGAATTTGCGCAAATTTATTGAATCCACGGGTCGTCATAATCTGATAATGACCCGAATCATGACCCAAATAAGCGACTTGCATCCACAGAAACCCCAGCAATCCTCCAGAAAACATATGGATCCAGAAACCATCGCAACACAATACACCATAAACACAAGTGAAAAGTAACAACGCAACAAAACATAGGGAATAAATCACTCCATGGCCCTTCTTTTCAAACATCCCTGCTTTCGAAAACTCAGAATGAAGCTTCCTAAAATCCCTAGAAACCTCAGAAACCTTAAAATCGCCTAAATAATACCCAGTAAAGAATCTGTCAAGATATTTCCAGGCAGTACCTGGATGAAAAGCAATGAATGCATCAGTTACATCGTGGCCAGCCAAATTCAGCAGTGGAACATCCCCACCTGGGTGTTCCTTAGCCCAATCTGTCACGTTGTAAACCTTCTCCTGAATTGAAATCCACAAATCATCAGATTTGTTATGTTTCTTCAATTCATCAGACGAAATATACTTCTTGTTAGCACCCATTGACGAAAAAATGAATCAAATCAAGTAAATTCAAGAACAGAAGCAAAAACAACAGATCTGTGTGCCCAAAATCTTTGCCAAATCCAAAATCAAATCCAACCCCCAAATGCCAATAAAATGGAAATGGGTTTTGTTTTAAATCAAAACAGCCCCTAATCAAGAGGTTGTCTTGATTATGCCATTATCTCTCTCTCCCTTTCTCTTTGATTTGGAGAGCCAAATTTTTCTCTTTTTTGTTAGGTTTTCCTCTATTTTATAGGAGATTGCATTGTTGGTGAAAGCGGTGTCTTATCATGGAGTTGGTGTTGTGTGGGTGCTTCGAAACCTACGGTATATTAATTAATTAATTAATTATTATCCGGTTAAACTCTCATCACATTACGGTGGATATATTTTAACCATAATTAGAATTAAGTCATTAATTAGAGGTCTTAACCAAATAAGGTTAATAGTCCTTTCATTCACATATGACGTGTTTGGTAGTATTAAACGAAGTCAAGCTTATGATCTTAACTTCTAATTGTTTCATCACGATGATATTTTTTTTTTTCCTTAATGGTCTCTTTCATCATGATATTTATGTCTTATTCGTTACACCATCGACTCTTTATATCACTTAGCTCACAAGTTTGAGTATCATTTTTTTGAAATAGATTTTGTATAAAGTGTTTTTATGGAGAATGTGAATTAAATAATATTGAAAATTTTTGGTTTTATTTATTTTATTGAAAAATATGTATGATAAAACAATCATGCTACATTGCCCACTTTCTTGAAAGATAGATGACATAACGTCACATGTTACTTTGTCATTAGAGTATTTTAAACACAATCATAATTTACATTCACCTACGTATTCGTCGAGGAGGATGTAAAAAATCCTCTGACAAAGTATAACAATTCATGATAAAAATAAGCTTTAAAGAATGAGGGACAAATGGGACTTCAGTTTTGACGAATGTTGTGTACCGTATTGTGTCAGGGTTTTTTTTCTTGGTAGGAGTCGGCAAGTTACTTACCAAATCCTTCCAAACTGTCAAATCGAATCGACTCGAAACGTTTTGCAGGGATGGTGGTTTAGTTTTGGATGACTTGTACCAACTCCAATACCTCGATTTGAGAGATTGGATCTCAAAAGGTTGATTTTCAAGGGGAACGTCCCATCGGATCCGACAAAACTGACTGAATCAATTTATTCACCTTGATAGATCGATTTCGAGTTGGGATTTCACCCAACCAGAATTGTCAGTTAAATTGTAAGGTTCGATCAAGTTAGACCTAATTAACCATGCTCACCCCTGCTTCTTGGTGTATAAAATATAGGGGATGACTCAACTGAGATTTTGATGGATTTTAAAAGTCCTTCTAAATTCATGTGTTCTCAATTGAGATTTTAATGATTTTTAATGAATCCATTAAAATTTAGGTGTCCGCAATTGAGATTTTAATGAATTTAAATGAAATACTTTAAAATTTAGATATTCTCAATAACTTATGGATTTACATGGAATCATTAACAGAGAAATTTTAAAAAACTTTTATGGATTTCGATCTTAAAATTATATATAACAAATTCTTTTGAAATTTTACTATTTCTAATGAGATACTTATGAATTTTGTGAAAATCTATTATAATCTATAAAATTCAATAGAATTTATAATCTTTAAAATCCATAAAAAATTCAATTGTAGACCCCAATATTAATTTTGAGTTTGGTTGACAATATAGTAATGTGTAGTGGATAAATGGCTAAAGTTACACGTTACCTATTTCTCTTGAAAAAAGTACAATGTTTGGCTAAATATCAAGAGTAACTTGTATACTAATTTAACTTAAAACTTAACGCTATAGGGAAAAAAAATTATTAGTTTAAAACGTGCCTTATAAATAATGTTTTATTGAAAAAAAAAAAGTGCTAACATAACAAATAGTTTGATTTGCTTTTGAGAATAAATTTAGTGGGTATTTGGTGGAGATTAAAATTAAATTTTTAATAAATTGTAATATAAATTTTTGAAATGTGTGTTTGAGAAATTGTGGAATTCATAAAAAATGTGGTTAATAACTTTAACTTAAATTAAAATCTGATTTTAATTCTAAATAAACATGGCCTTAATAGCCTCAATGAAACAAAATTAAGAACAAATTTAGGGACTGTTCTCTTTGCATTTCAGTTTTGTATTTTGAGTTTTGAATTCAGTTTGAATTTTGTATTTTGAAATCCAAAACGCGTTTTGAAAATTTTGACTTGATTATTGTTTTGGGTTTTTTTTGGTAAATTTTTAACTTATTTTCAAAAACGCGTTTTCAAAAATGGAAAACGACTTGAGAATGATGAAGAGAACAGACCTTTAAGGTTTCTAAATCTTTGTTTGTTTCTATGTCATGTTTTAGATATGTGATACTTGAGAATTTCGATCATTTTACAACCTTAATTGCTGTAAATCACTGAAAAGTGATCTTTAGAGTCTCCTTTTCACATGTTCAAAGATTCTGATAATGTGAGAAGAGATTTTTACTTCAACATGTTGATTATATTAAGGAAGACAAAGCAGTATCAAGCCAAGAAAAGGTTGATGCCTGGAACATACAGACAACGATGACACGTATTGAAATATGCTTGATTTTAACTTATTAAATTTTGATGGTCGGATTAGAAGTTATTCTCGATATTATATGTTGAGAATATTTTGATAGAATATATGTTCATATATCTACACTTGACAAGTTGCGTACATTTTTCAAATTTATTCTTTTTGTAACCATAGTAGGCGGCTCGAGAAGAGAATGGAAGACGAGGAAGGCTTTGGGGAGTCGGGTTCTTTTTTTTTTCGATGTATTATTGAGAGAATGAAGAAAACAACTCAAAAAAGAAGAAACGTGCAAGACACGTGGATTTTTATTGGTAGAAAAGGAGATAAACGTTTATTTTGTGATGACCAACCTGCGCCGAAAGTTTTAAGTTTGAGAAATTGAGGGCCCTTATAGTATATTTGTCAAAAATTGAAGACCATGGTGGCCAATTTATCTTTTCTCTAAAACAACAAAAAATATTGATAACTAGCTTTTGCTAGAGGTAGGCTAATAATCCGTCTAACCGATCTAAACTGTTAAATTGAACCATCTTGGATCAATTTAGAGGGATGTTGATCTGGTTCTCGATTTGAAGGATCCGATTTTAAAAATTGATTTTCAAGGGAAAAGTTCTCTCGAACATGACAAACAAAATTGATCTAAATCGATTCGGTCGAATTATTCATCTTATTAGTTTGGTTCCGGGTTGGAATTTTCACCTAACCTGAACTGTTGGTTCGGTTGTTAGGTTTGGTCCGAGCCCGATCTAATCCGATTTGTGCCACCCCTAGTTTTTGCTAAAAAGCTTAATACGATTAACTTTTTTGGATGAAATCTCGAAATTCAATGTGGTATTGAAATCAATAAGCCTAAACGAGCAATTGAATTCCAAAATTGATCAATGGTCTATACCAAAAAGCCTGGTAAACGATTTTGGACAATGTTACTTGTACATCATGCTTGATATCATTAATGTTAGCAAAATTTGATTGGTGAAAAAAAAATTAACTGTTTAATAATAACGTGTTGTCACGTGGCACCATATAAAAATTAACATTTAGTGCACATGTATCATGATTGAACTATTTTTTAGAAAACAAAAAAAAAAAAAAA